TCTTTCCACTAGTGTCGTGACTGTTGAGTGCGAATAAGTCCTATCACCCAGCCAAAAGTGATTAAAACAGAAAATGAGACTCGGGGTGGGGGGTGGGGGGATGCATTAAACACTGGAATAAAACGAGTGAGAGTTTGAACTCCAAGCTTACGTAATGAGTGTGAATCGCATCTCTCCTCAGTGTGTGAATAAGAAATAATGAAGCCATTTTTAGACGAGGTAAGCTGGGAAACTGATAAAATGAGGGGAGACCAAGAAGTAAGTGAGGAATGTCTTGTCCTTGTTTTTAATTATGTGATATGACAGAAATAAACTCATATGTTTTAGATGCCTTAAAGATTCTTTAGAGAAATAAAATATTTTACGGGGTTTGAAAAAGGATGAAACAGGAACAAGATGTTCTTCATAGCCTCAGATGAAATACTTTCTACACAAAAATGTGCAGCCCACACTGGAATACCAAATTGGCTTGATAGGCAGCTGTCCCTTGACCTGCTGTGGCGATTTGATTAATTATAAATGTGTTTCGTACGAGCCACTGAAGCATAAATGAAAATGTAAAATTAAAACTGCGATAATGTAGCCTCTACATTTTCAGCTTAAGGCCTCATTTTAAATAGGGCCCTTGGGTAAATACCTTGAAAATCCTTTTAAGTTTTATTAATTTGTGTTACCTGTCCCTTTTCTTTCTTTCTTTTTTTTTGCTAAACTGGCCAAATAATGTTATGGAAAATAGGTTCGCCAGCTTCTGACTACCTGTCATAAATCCTACAAACAGTCTTGCTCTCAATAATTTGAGAGCTATTAGTGTGTCTGGGAGAGGGATAATCATCTGTCCCTGTCACAGTAAACACAATGTTAACAACAAGGCAATCAAACTGTGTAGACTCCTGCCTGGTGTTTAATCATGCTGCTGTGTTGCCGCAGTTACTCACCATGACAATGCGGTGCTTTTTTTAATCCTTTTTTTTCCTTTTTTTCTTTTCTTTTCCTGTGACATCATCTTGCCGCCCACTGTCGGGGAAGAATCGCTTCTGTAGGCTATGGAGGCAAAATGCAAAGGGATTGTAACTAGTTAATCACTTCTACATAACCTGTAGTCATGTCAGCGAAAGTGGTGCGTTAAGATCGCCTGTTCGTCTTGTTGACCCTGGCAACCAGCCGTGCCTTTACGCTGGTCATTAACAAAACTCCTTTCTTTCTCACAAACGCACAATAGCATCTGCTGTCACCTCCGATATACATGACCCTTGACAGGAGAAGGCTCAGTAAGACAGCCTGTCAGCAGCTCTGCAGTGTGTCTGGCTTGTCTGCTTTCACTGGATGGCCAGCATGTGCCTCAGGTCCTCCCTGCCCATCCATATCTACACCAATTTAAAGCCTGGCTGCCAGCAGAATGATATTCTCATATGACATTTTTTTTCCCCTGAGGTCAGCAATCCAGAATTACAAAATTCTTTCTTTTGACCTACTGGGGCTATTTTATAATATTGTATGGTCACACTGATCGTGTATACTCGTGTATCAAACACATAACGATAGAGCAAACATTGTGTGTTTACAATAAAATGTATCTACTGTTACACCACAGTAGAAGGTTCATACTGGAAGACTGATCCTCTTTTTGTTTCTTGTGTGCGTCTAATTGTATTTAGTGTGTTGTCTCTGCGGCTTTTAACAATAAAGCAACACTCTTTCCTGATGAATGATCGTGCCTGCCGAGTTTTTATTGCTTTTTGTAGATTGCATCAGCTCGAAGTAAATCACTTTTGCCAAGAAAACGTGTGATCCTAATAAAAATAGGTGAAAACATATCCTAATGTAAACAATAGTTTTGAGCTTTTTGCTGCGTGGTTGATTTTTTTTTTTTTTTCCCCCACGCAGCTGTCATCACCATTCATCACTCCTAAATTATAAACAGAAAAGGTTGGGGTGAATTGATAGTGGTGCAATTATGCAATAAGACTGGAAGGGTTGGCACGAATGTCAGTGAAAGAGTGGCAGAGAAAGGAGAAAGTGAGATTTGTGTGTTACTGGAGGAGTTAGAACATGACGTTGAACGCAATGATGGAGATGAATCAAAGACTTAGTGTATCACTGAACGTGTGGATATTATTCGATGCACATGGAAAGTTGTGAGATCTAATAAACAGTATCACACCTGTATTATTATCGGTAACCTTAGCATTAGCAGCTTTAGAAAGGGAACGCTTTCTAGAGACACTGTGAAGATAGAGTGTGAACAGCCTCATGAAGAAAACCTCACGTGTTTGAGTTAAAATTAGTTTGAGCACCTCAGTTAGAGGGAGAGTGGACATAGATGTTTAGATGATTGACATTCCAGCTCCAGCGCAGTAGAATATAACCTCATGTACACACAGAGCTATATCAGAGTACACAAGTGGACAAGTATACAAAAACTGAGATATGCAGGAATGCTGGCAAAACCAAACTTTTGTTCTCCCAACAGCAACAAATTTAAAAAGTTACAAATATCAGAAATAATTGAACTTAAAGCATTAGTCTGGTTCTCCTTTGTTGATTTTTTTTAAAATGCTCCTACAAGATTTTCAAAAATCTCCATTCTGTGATACTAATTCATTTACTGTTGGATTAGATGCTCATTTGTAATTCCAAACGTAAATAACATAGACAGTGTAAAAGATGGTCTTAGCTGTTGTAATGTCACCCACGGATTTCTGATTTCTGGTGTTTAAGCATTGAGGTGAAGAATGCAACATGTGACACCACACACTCATTGGCTGCTGATGTGTGATTAGCCATTAGCCGTTAGCCGTTAGCCGTTGAGCGTGTGGATTCATACCACAGATAATTCTTCACACCACTGAATGACACTTTATGGGGGATCAAGTTTAAAATTCTCACACTATTATTCCCACTTTGATTCTCTGTCACAATGGGTTGAAAATATTTCTGTAACGCTGATTTTGCATATATTTAATACAAGCGTCACCTCTGTGTTTGCAATGTTCGGGACAAAGCTTACAAAGCGCTGCGCAACAATATACCTGAGTGTCGTGACTTTAAATCTGAGGGACTAAATTTACTTACAGTTAAAGTACGTTGTGGCATCCCCGTCATGAACTTAAACTAGCCAGGGAGCTGGAAGCCATTTTGTTTTGAGTGGACTAGAGACATGATTAACAAACTGCTGCAATACTACAGGGCTGTAATGGCAGACGTTCTGATACTAACACATCGCGCTGCCAGAATAAAGGGCATCGGTCGATAACACCTCCTCAGAGTGTCTTTTTGGCAAGTGCTGCGGCCTGTAATGAAACCAGCAAACAGATGAAGAGAAGCATGGAGCAGAAGGGTCTTACACCAACCGACCTCACCCCTGTGGTGGAAAGTCCATTATTGTTATGAGTCTGGGAAAATCTGAAGGAGGCTTTGTGCTGCTGACAAAGCTGAAATAAGCGTATAAACTGGAGGTTTCTCAGCTGTCAAGGGTCTCGGTTTTGGGCCCCTGCTAATGTAATGTTAATAAAAACAAAACACCGAGCCGTCTGACCCCTGAGAGCAGCCTTCGTGTCTCTCCTGTAATCTTACAAATCTCGTCAGTGCACTGTAATATCTCGTGCACCTGCCTGCATCGATAGAAAACACACACATTGCGATATGAACAGTTATAGTTGTGCTGCTGGGGTTATTACACAGCGCTTATTTGATGACGCCATCGATGGCCAGGTGAATGAAAGGGGTGTGTGCTGGAATACATCACGACGATTTGGCCCTTGTGCAGTTGCTATGAGGTTTGTGGTGATATACAGCCTGCGCATGGCCACAGACGTAATAAACACTGACAGCCTCCTCGCTTTCTCTCTCTGTCTCTCATTAATGGAAAAATACACAGATGTTGGCTGTTTTCCACTGCAGTATGTGTTGTGTGCCCTTTCTCATGAGAGAAATTATTAGCCAGCTGTTCATTCCCCAGCTGCATAGGCTATGGTGTGCCATGGGTGCTTAAATACACACACACGCACGCACAGAGATATATCAGAGAGTATATTTCTGCCCCACAGGTTACAAGCCATAGCGAGAGGCCAGGGGAGGTTCTTGACACAGTTAATTGTGTGATGTTAATCAATTAGCAGACATCTGACTGAGCTGGAGGCCAGCAGCGAACTGTCATTAGACTCCCAGAAACAGACAGGTGCATTGGTAGACAGCAAAAAAAAAAAAAATGGACAGTAGCTATTGGCAAGCAAAGCTGTTCCAACATGACTGTCTTTCTATTTCGATGATCATGATCAATTCAGCCTCATTACAGGATGTTAGATGCACATTTGAAAAGTGTGTGTGTGTGAACATTTGTGCATTTGTGAGTCCTCGCATGTTTGGCACGCATGCTTAGCATGCATTTTAAACAGGCAGGCTAGATCATCCATATTGTCAGGGTCAGGTCTTTCTGGGCTCAGCTAACCTCAACCTTTTAACACCCAACATCTGCTTGAGTCAGCTAGCCAGCCCAGGGATGGCTCATCGTCAGCTGGACGGTGGTGTTCATGTTCCGGCTAAATACTGGCAGGAGACAAGCGTTTGTGTTTGTGCATCCAAGCAAGTCCAGCTTCAGCTCTCTGAATCGCTCTGTTCCATTTTAGATCTCAGGTTGCCTTGGGCAGACATGCAGTCAAGACTGTGGTTACACAACATTAAGTATTGAAGACCCAACAGTTTGTCTAATCTATGCTTGGTGTTTTTGTGTTGACAGCATTCTTTAAGCTGCCTTCTTCATAAGCAGACAGTGTGAAATTGCTTAATTCGCACTGGTCCTACAGTACTTCTGTATGGACTGTGAATCAGTTCGTGATACTAATCACTCTTCTCAGTTCTGCATATTTTACACTACATAATAACATAAATAAAGCACACAGTAAACTGCATGCTTCGTGTGTGTGTTATCTTCCTGATGCCTTGTTATACATTTCCATGCTCTCACTCTTTTTACCCTCTTCTTGTATTTTATGTCTGTCCAGGAGACTATGTGGTGCTGACTGTGTACTTTGATCTGAGCAGGAGAATGGGTTACTTTACAATCCAAACGTACATCCCATGCACGCTTATTGTTGTCCTCTCCTGGGTCTCCTTTTGGATCAACAAGGATGCAGTGCCTGCCAGGACATCATTAGGTAAGGAAAAAAAAACATGATGTCATTGCTGCCGCTGACTGTGTAAAGCAAAAGTCTGCAAGTTCATCAGCAAAGAAAAATGAATATGAATGAAATGTTTTTGCTTTTTTTGTTCTTTTATAGATATCTCTCCTTTGTGTAAAAATCACAAGGCTTTATCAGAATTGCTTTAATTCTTTTTTTTTTTTTCAATCAGTCCACTTAACCCTGACACAATCTTTGCTTTAATTACTCCCCCTGGTAAAACACATCTGACTTCTGTGGTGATTAGGCAGCACACTCACATTGTAAAACAGTCTGCTCAAGCTTCCCATTTCTTGTTGTTCTTTTCGTTTTGTCTTCTCTTTTCACATACGCTGTTTCCAGTCAGGGGCAGCACATCTGCTTAGGAATCTAGTGCATCTTGATTAGAAGAGCCTGTCCTAGCACATATGTTTGCACGCATGCCTTAATGAGGCATTAATTATGCAATGCAGAAAGGAAGATGCGGAGATGCCTCGTCAGCATAATAATAATGCAGGTGGCTTCCTCACAGAATGCAAAGAGGCACCCTGCATGTACCAAGGGGAGGGAAAAAATGAGAATTTCAAGAGAATTTTTCAGGTTTTGAACTTGCCCTAATGGACATTCTCAAAGGTTTTCTTGTGATGGAGTAAGAAAAAATATTCTTTTGTCAGCTTTTTTTAGACCCTCGAGGCTCCAAAACCTGACCTGAAGTCCATGTGGTGTGATTATTAGTATTAGCAAGAGTAACTTTATGTAAAATAATCCCTTCTGGCCAAAAATCCCCTTTCCACCTTCCTACCATCACTGCTTTGTCTGTCATTAATCTTTCTAAAAATAGGTTGTTTTCTTGTTTTTCAGCCTCTGGAGTCCAGACGTGATTTGCAGTTGTAGTAATAACACAGTTAATTCCCTGCTAAAATTATACCAAGAGTGAAATGTCTTAATTTCCTTTTTAAAACATGATGCAGAAGGTGCGTGGAGCCTGGTAGCTAGGAAGCGGATTTATTCAGATGACATAATTCATAATCCTTCAATGCCATCCAGAAATATATCAATTCACTCACAGTACTACAGTGTTAATCTTGGCGCAGACTGATATCCTTCAGGCCGCATTAAATTTAGACATAAATCATCTTCTTTATATACGAAGCGAGTCCCCTAACACGTATGGTCTATTTAAAGGGAAGAAGGCGGGCTTGTTAGTTGCTTTTTTGTTGGTGTTTGGGGATTGTGATGGTGTTGTTGGTAATCTGCTGTGTATGTGTACTTACAAACACATTTCCTCGTCATGTGCCATCACTCTGCCTCCATCTACATCATCATTAGAGCCCAACAGAGTGAGTAAAAGGGCTAGCAGATGGTGGATATAGCAATGCAGTATGTCACTGTTGTGGTCAATTGCAGTTGAAATGTCAACCAGTAAGTAGCTATGTGGATCAAGGCAGCAGTAAAACAGCTGCTCGCTATTCCCACATGGCTATTCCAGTGTTAAGAGCTAACAAATCAAAAGACATTTTTTTAGCCTTTTATACTGATACAATATACAGTGTATAGCCATCATGCATATGAAGAGAGCATTTTTAAACATGTAATAGGAACTTGGGATGTGCAAATTATACATAGCAAGAATAATCGAACTTGTAATCTGTCATTATTTAAAACTGTTCTGATTGTTTTCCTTTTTCCTGTTATTTTATTACCAGGCATTACCACAGTGCTGACCATGACCACATTGAGTACTATCGCCAGGAAATCTCTTCCAAAAGTTTCCTATGTGACAGCCATGGACCTCTTTGTGTCTGTCTGCTTCATTTTCGTCTTCGCCGCACTTATAGAGTATGGCACACTGCACTACTTTGTCAGCAACAGAAAGCCGAGTGCCAAAAAGGACAAGAAGAAGAAGAATCCGGTGGGTGTCTTTCCAAAACTAAACTGAACTTTTTTTCCAGTAATCATTAGGAGTTTCTCAACTATGGATCTTCGAATTAACAATGAGACCACAAATAACTTTTTAAAATTAAGTGTTTACAATTTCTGGATGTGTATTTTAAATTATTAGTTAGATAAATGGTCAGATTATCACTTCACATGTTTTTTCCCCTCCCCCACTCTGTTACAGTACTGGCATACGGTGCAAAAAAGCTCTACAGCGCTTAGAATTCCTAAGACAGTATTTTGCCAATGGCCGCCACCCCAAATTACTCAATGAGTAATGCAAGCAGGTCAAATCTTTCATAATCCTCTACACATCTGCTACAGTTGTAATTTAGATCCAGGTCACGTGACAGTTGAGTTGCCTCATACGTTACAAGTCTTAAGCCCCCAAGAGATCATGCCCAGCTTAGTTTAAGGACCATGATCTCTGACCTAATATTTTGGAGGATGTTTATGGTATACAGCAAAACTAGCAAATTTTCTCTAATCACTTAAAGTTGATTTGTGTAAGAGGAACAATTTTTAATTAAAAAATGTTTAAATATACCTCTGGTGCTATTTACTTTATGGCAAGACAAAGTTCCAGCCGTTTTTTTGGGGGGAAGGATAATAATTGTTTTAACAAGGCTTTTCAGTGAAAGATATTAGAGCTTAAATCAAGTACACCACCATGTGTTGATGAGAATCATTCAAATGAAAAGTGGTGAAAATTGAGGTGATCTAGCTGTAGTCTCTGTAACTAAGGTTTTGCATATAGTCAGAATGTCTTGGGGGTGAATAAAGGAATAATGAAGTGGAAGGTATAATGCTAGTTTGCTATTTCAGAGGGGAAGTCAAGCAAAGACAGGCTTTCTTTTTTTCATTACTATTTGCTGTTTCAGCTACATTTGATGTGACCCTTTGAAGAATTTGAAATATTCTCAGGAATTACAATTAAATACACTACGTATAGTGACACCGACTACAAAGCTAGTGAAATACTGTGTAATTAAAAACTTGAAGATACGATGAAGTCACAGTCGCAAGGAGTTTGTAAAGCTTGAATTAAAGTGGATGTAATGTTTTCCTAAGGCAGTGCTGGCCTAAGAAGCATGTAAAATACATGTATCCTACCATACATCTCCCCCTGTGTCCGTTCGTAATATGTATGTCTCCTTGCAATTTATATCCTCTCTTTCCATTTTGAGTTAAATAGTGCAGTATGTGTAATTATCACACATTTTCTTTGTGTTTCTCTTTATTTTTTTATGGTTATTTTCTTAATTCTCTGTTTACATGTATTCTGTGTTTTTGTTCTGTTTTGTTTTGTCCTGTTGTGTTACTCTCTTTCAATTCCACATATTCTTTTTCTCCTGTTGGGACAAAAGCTCCTCCGGCTCTTTTCCTCAAAGGTATATTGCCTGTGTCTGACTGCATGTGTCTGCTGCATTTTGGCTCTCTGAGCCCCCAGTACCTCACTGCTTTTTTCTGTCTGTTCTAGAGCTGATACACCTCTCTATATTCCCTCTTTATCTACCTGCATTCTTACTGTACTCCTCCTCATTTACTAAATAGGTATCACAGATAACATTAAAAAGGGCGCTCTGCAGTGCACAGTGCGGAGGCAGCCAGCCAGACATACTTGCAGTGTTTAAAATTCAAATAAGCATCCCACACATCCCATGTCAGGAAGAATGTAATATTCCAGGCTCAGTGTGGACTTAATTCTGGCTCCCTCTGTCCTGTTTCACTCTTTGTTGTTGTTGTTACCACAGCGAACTAGCAGCTGCTACAATAGCTTCCTCTTCTTTCCCTTCTTCTGCCAGTTAATCTATACCTGTGTGTTTGTTGGGCTTCTCAACCTGACGCTTCCTATAGAGTCAGCAGAGCCTTAACAGACTGAAATAGACAACCCATGCAGTGTGCTAGGTCTAAATTAAATTGGAAACCATTTAAAGGATTAACACACAGTGAGACAGAGACACCTAACAAGCGTCCAGGGTAGGCGAAAGCAAGCAAAGATTTAAATTTAGCTTAAACTACAAACTGCTGATACTTTACTAGACTAAATAATTTAAAGTAAGATTAGTTAGATTTCCAGGAATCTAAATGTGTTGCTAAAAATCATCACTTGCAATGTGGAAACACTACTACAAATTATCAGCTTAAGCTAGATAAGCAGTATTAATCCTGAGTGTTTCTGAATCTTTTGTCTTCTCAGAGCGGTTGTCTCCTTTCAGTCGGTTAAAGCTGCAAATGCCACTGTGTTGGTTCTTTGTTTTTATTTCTTTATATCTTTTGCTAACACCGACTCAGCATTGCCCAGCTTGACCAGGCCATGCGGCGGGATGCTGTTAATGCTCCTTCTGCTTGAGCTTCCACTGCGCTTTCTTCAGTGCAACCAATCCCCCTTTGAGAATGGAGCCATAACCTGCTCTGCTAATCCCGTCATTAACTTCACATATGGTCCGTTAAGAGGACAAAATGCTGAAACTAACCTGTGCGTCATTTTGTTGTGGTTATGTATCCTTTTCAAAGGGTCAGCAGATGTTTGCACTAGTGCTGGGCAATTTCAGTTTCAGGGAATGAACATTATTTTGAGCTGTATTTTAAGCTTGTTTAAGGTCGCATGCTTACAGCAGATAATGAGGTGTATTAAACTAAAACTGCATTTATATATATTTTTTTCTTTTGCAGTAAACATGCCTTTTCTATATACTATATTGAAAAGGAACAAAAGCAATAATGAGGCAGGTGAAAACAAAAAGCATTTGCCGTTTTGAGATGGTTGTTAACTCATTAAAAGTGTTTATATTCTAACAAAACAGAATATGAATTTGTGTTGTAAACTATAATTGGAGTGTAAGTGCAGTCACTTATAGACTCCAAATATGGTTTACTTGGAGTGCAAAATTATAGATTGTCGTCCCTGTTAGCTATCTATAGTCTCTCCATAATGGAGACAATATCTGAGAAATAATCTAAATCTTTAGTTTTTACAGTGGGAGAGCAGTCATACGAAATTCTTGGAGTGCACTTAACTAACGGACTCCTTTTAAAGCATGAGGCTGACACCCTAGTTTATCAGCAAGGTCAAGGAAACTTTTGTCAAAGGGAAGAAAAGCATTTAATCTGCAAAACAGCAAGACTTCCAATTTGTGCAAAGGTGACATGGCATTTGAAGATAAAGGCTAATGAAAATGGTCTATTTGAATACTAATTGTCTCTCTTTAGAATGACAGGACCAACAAGTGACTGATGTCACTGTCCTATTTTAGAAACCTTAACAAATGAAAGCCGTGTGCCCTGCAGTGGTGAGCACAGATTGAAAAGAGGGTTTATTTTAACCCATCTAGTTACAGAAAGAGTAGGTTGTAAAAATACTGAGCTTTGTGCTACATAATTGCCAGCACATGCTTTCTCTTAGCTACATGATGCATCATAAGCCAGTTACAACATATCTCTTAAATGAATTGTCAGAAAAACATCCATTCTGTTCCAAAATCACCGAGTGTTAAAAAGATTTTTAAAATGTCATAGAACAAAATATGAATAATCATCTGCTTTCGTTGACATTTTGTAGGATTATTTAATGTAATGTTTTGAATGCAGAGCATCACAATAAGAAATGGAGGGCCCATTGCCCAGCACTAGCTTTGTATAGCTGGCAAGTAAAGCAGTATGGACCACTGTACTAAAATTTAACTGATTGCTTCAGCTGCCTATTACACCCTAGCCCAAAGGTGTAATTTGCATCATGGGTTCCATGGGGATAGACCCTTTGTCATTTTAAGCCTCACTAATTACAACTACAGGTGGTAGTTATGGGTCTATTTGTATTTCTTGACGCTAAAAGGGTCCATTGGCAAGTTAAAGGTGCAAATTACATTCTGCTGACTAATGACTGAAAATGAAGAAGAAGACAGAAAATTGTAGCTCAAATGAGGTCCCCTGTTATGTCAGTGAAGTCTTCATTAGAGCTTTCTCAGGTTCTGGTGGCTAATTGCGTCATTTTGTCCTGTTAAAAGCAGACACCCACGGTGGACATCCGTCCGCGCTCGGCCACTGCCATTCAGATGAATAACGCCACGCACATGCAGGAGCGAGACGAGGAGTACGGCTATGAATGTCTGGATGGAAAGGACTGCACTAGCTTCTTCTGTTGTTTCGAGGACTGTCGCTCCGGAGCCTGGCGGCACGGCAGGTTGCACATTCGCATCGCCAAGATAGACTCTTATGCACGCATCTTTTTCCCCACTGCATTTGCTCTCTTCAACCTGGTCTACTGGGTCTCCTATCTCTATCTCTAGGCGCAGGTGTGTATCCAGCCTTATCATACAGTCCATTACATTCTACATATGCTCTGCGCCAACGAGTGACTTTATGGAGGAGGGGACCCACTGAAATACCCAGAGATTTGATTATAGCATTTCTTCTATTTCTTTTGTTTTAATCCAATTAAATCTTGTTTATTTTATCAAAGAACTCTGACAGACATTGCAAATGTTGTAGCATTACATTTAACCGGTGTGAAAAGGTTTATAGATGTGTTGAGGAACTATGGATTGTGTAAAATATCAAACAAAGTTTCGTTTCATTTTCACCACTTTATTTTTGAATTTGAAATTTGAAAGATACGTCTCAATGGGGGGTTTACCAGTTGTTTTATTAGATAAAAGATCATTTCGCAAGAAGCAATTAGTAATTCAATAACAGCAGTTTGGATCATGTCAGATCAAGTATTCATCAGAAAAAGTCAATAGGTTTCAGAGGACTATTAAAGAGAAGATCAGAGTGCTTTGCAGAATTCAAAGTGATATCGATGTGTTTTTATCAATGACTAAATTAACAAATTCATCAAAACAAAAAGAGTGTGACCAGTTTATGGTGAGTAATAATACATAACATCTTTTGCATTGACTGTACTTTTAATTATGTTCATAGTTCTTTGTTCACTTACTAAAAAACAAAATCTGAAGCACTTTAACAGAGCTGTTAGACACTGACATGAGAATATTACTTTTTTTTTTTCCAAATTTATTTGTTTAGTGTGGTCAAAGTGTGGTGATGCTGTTTATGGACTTCTACTGTACAGACACTGTATATATTTTACTATTGCATAGTGGTTTACATTTATTGCATGCACCTTTCGGGCCAAAAAGCAACTTATTTTATGGTCTTCTACTGTTGGCTATGGAAAATAAGAAAACAAGCACTAATAATCATTCAGGATACTCTTCTTTTTTTATGAAAATTCAGAAAGTGACACAGTGAAAATCGGCCGAGTTGATGCTTTTAAGTTGAGAAATCCCTCATGATTACAGGTGGGAGGATCATCCCAGGGCAGAAAACTGGTTTAGTCAATTACCTTGCAGCCACTAGCTTACACTTCATCCCTTTCTCCGGTTGCTGTAAAAGTGCATATTTGCAACATGACACCACGCTATTGTGTTTTTAGTTATGGAAGTTTGTCAGTGTGGTAACTGCAGCAGCATATTCAGAGCCTGAGTTTTACTTTTGAGGATACTTCAACTAATCTACAGACAGCTGTAGGGCATTGTGCAATCTTTGCAGTTAAAAGTTCATTCTCTTTGTTATTCTACTAAGATTACAAGAAAAAAACGAGGCTTTTATTCAAGCGTAAGAACAGATGTAACCCTTTTTTTTTTTTATCAAGCATTTCATTTCCTGTGTCTTTGAGAAGAATCACATTGAGAATGTAACTCATTTGTAGTGGGAAGATATATTCAAAAGGCTGAGAAGAAGTCTGGTATTGTTTCAGTATTTTTTTTCTTCCATTAATAAAATGTCTGAATGTATAGTGAGCAGAAAATAAATGAAACATTTCTGAACTGTAAATGCTATGTATGGTACAGTACAATCCACTTTACAGATCCCTTACAGCAGGCACCAGTATGCAACTAATGGAGAGCTCACTGATTGTGTACATAAATTATGAATAAAAAACTGGTCAAGCCCTTGGGATATTTTGTAAAGGGTATATATTTTGTCATTTCAGCATTGCTATTATATCAACGTAAAGTATATCACACCTATTATATTATGGTTTTACCAACCATGTAGAATATTTGAGGGAATTGGGGTATTTATTTATTTATCCATTGCTGGCATTTATTTATTTCTTGAAAGAAAATGCATTTTATGCTCATATAGGCCCTGAAAAGAAACGCAGAGTGCTGTCATTTATATCAAAGATACATTTTTGTTTAGTGTGTCAATGGAGCTTGAGCTTATTTATCTTGTGTTTTGTTGTGATCAGTGTACACTACTCTCACAAAAGCCTGTCAATCTGTTATATTTGTTAAATTAGTGGCTTGCAGCATTACCTGTTGTGCATCTTCTGAGTAGTAGACTTTATTTAATGAAAAATATATATATAAATATACAAAAACAGTTCCCAAGCCACCAGAAGAAGAACATTTGCTTGTCTAAATGACTATTAATTGCGTTCACTTTTCCAGCCATCTCATTGGTTTGCTTTGGTCTTGACATCTGAAATAAATAAAGCATCTCTGGTTATACAAATATATGTATTTACCAGATAATGTCATATTTCTTACAGTTCTTTCCCTTTTGTATTAAATGGTTGTCCTGTTGTGTTACAAAGCTACCACCCAGTAGTCTGAATCTGTCTTCAGTGTATACATATGCTATTTCTCACATCTTTAGGGTTTCCAAGTGTGTCAGTAGCAATGTAAACTGGTCCTCATCAGTGTTTGTTTAAAGAAGTGCAATGGAGTGACTACATTTTATAAAGTGCCAAACTGACACACACTGAATAGAGAATATCTAACTTTAATATCATCATATACTACGTTGTAAAAGAAAAGACATGATAAAAGATGAGGGTTTTCTTTAAAAATAAAAAAATGCTGCCCTGCAGGATGGATTAGCAGGTGCCCTGGATTTCTTTTTTCTTTTAGTTCAAATTTGACATGATGCAGAACCAAAAGCATCAGCTATGCTCGAATGAACATGAAACTAATAAAAACGATCAAGGTAAAATGGAAATTACTTGACTGTGTGACGTACCTTATTGATGCTGATGAGAGCGTGTGCTGTGTTTAAAGAGAGGTTAAATATATATATATATATATATATATATTATGAAATGTTTTTCTTTCCATAATAGATGCTTGTTGATTGATTTCTTTTGTTTGTGTGTGCTCTACAGGAAATGTAGAGATAGAAAATTGTGTGGGAGGTACTCAAGTGTGTTTATTCTCAGTAGCGTGCATGCTGAACATGTTTGAGGTTTAAAAGGGACGTTTCAAAGAATTGGGACTCGCTCATCTGCAGGTGAATCCTTAATCCTTTGCCTGCATTGACATGGACACTTAACACTGTACTTCTTTTTGATGTGATTTTATTTACTTTGGGACCCACAAATGAGACATATATGTGAACAGCACATGTTGATATTTTCTAATGTGTGTATTTTGTCAAACTGCAGAAAAGAAAATAAGCGCTGGAATCACAGAGCCCAGTAAAAGGTATTCTAAGGCTAAACACATTTCACACGATTCTCCATACATACAGTATAATAGTTGTCTCTCATCTATGTAAATTTGGTTATTGTATAAAATGATCAATTCTGTTAGGATCTGCATAATAAATTATATATGTGAAGATAAAAGTCCTTTTCATAAGAAAATTGCACATAGCTGTGGAATTTTACAATAAAATGGTCGCATTTATCAGTGTGTACAGGTTCATTTATTATTATTATTATTATTATTATTATTGTTATTATTATTGTTATTGTTATTATTATTATTATTATTATTGTTATTATCATTAATGCTGTTGTTGTTGTTATTATTGTGGGGTGTACAGTGGTCAGTGTGTTCTAGTTAGTAAAAAAAATTTATTTATATAGCACATTTCACAGATAAAAATCACAAAGTGCTTTACAATAAGATCAGACATACAAGTTAAAATTAATTAAAAGCC